GTCCTAGAATATCTATGTCGCAAGTCTCATTGAAATGTGATGATTAGTACTTGAGATATCAGGTGAAAAGCTGAAAAATAACTAATTATGCTAATAAGGTGATTAATATGCACAAATATTTACCCAAAACTAATTAGGTCTCTGCACAGTCCTCAAGTAACTATGTACCAAGTTTCAATGAAACGTGATCATTATTACTCGAAATATCAAATCCTGAAAATTAATTATGCAAATTAGGTAATTAATATGTACTGATATTACCCTAAAAACTATCAGGTCTGTGCAGTGTCATGTGACACCTATGTACCAAGTTTTATTGAAATGTTATGATTAGTACTTGAGATATTCAGTGGAAAAGCCGAAAATTGATTATTCATTATGTAAATTAGGTAATTAATAATATTAACAGATTTTTACCCAAAACTAATCAAATCTGCGCATTAGTTCAGAGCATCCATGTGCCAAGTTTCATTGAAATCCAATGAGTGGTTCTTCAAAAATCAGTGGAACAGTCATAGAACAGCTTAAAATCAGTTAATTATCATGCAAATTAGGTAATTAATATTCATAGATTTTTACCAAAACCTAATCAACTCTGTGCATTATCCCAGAGCATCTATGTACCAAGTTTCACCAAAATTTGATTAGTGGTTCTTGAGATAACGGTGGAACAAAAAAAGTGACATACATACATACATACATACATACATACAGACATACAGACAGGGTAACTGCAAAGACTCCCTTTTGTGCTTCGCACACGGGAGTCAAAAATTGTCTGTTTGCATTATTATTTTCAAAGCAGCCCGGAAAATGGTTGAATCGGCCTGGCATTTCAGTAGGTTACTGGCTTCTATTGATAAGCATAAGCAGTAATACAATTCTTCTCTGTAACAAATATAATACTGCAATATACCATATACCTCATACTACCATGCCTAAAAGGTTGTGTATTTGAATAAACATATTCCTTTTTTGGATTATCACACATTCCCCAGACCTTACATGTACATTCTAAGGTGAATGACCACTCCATTCTCCCATCAAGACCCAAAAATGTTAATTATCACTCTTCCAATTTATATAGTACATGTACATGTACTATGAAGTAATTTTAATAACACAGCTCCCCTAGTAACTCACATAAGTGTTCAGAGGGATAATTTTAAGTTCCCAGGCCTGTTTTTCAAAAAGAAAGACCTGTTCACAAACATGTTCCAAATATTTCATACAAAAGTATTTTAAATAAATACAATTTAAGATGAAAACTGGTGGTGAAAAGAGTAATGACAGAACTAGACTGTATAGATGAGTTGTGTATCAAATGCGTTACCTGGAGGCAGTCCAAGAGAAGTTACTTCTTCAGGTATACAGCACTCTATTACAGCATGTATTACACCATATAAATGACACCAAAATGACTGAAAGTAATTATTAATATCATAATATGAAGTTTTCCTTAGAATACAGAGACAATGCAGAGGCCATGTGAAACAAAGCATAGTTGAGGTCATAATTGTGCTATTTACTTTTGGTACATGTAGAAAGTGTGTAAAGCGAGAAACTGACACTTTCTCCAAGTTTAGAGAGCTTTGATATTTATATTTATTTAATTATACAGAATCATTGGATTAAGGTAGCAGGGGTATTATTTGCATATTTGTTTTCATCTTGTAATTGTGACTAAATGACTATAAAAAAGATCCAGGAACGTATATATTTTTGGAATCGCCAGACTTCAAGCTTTTCAAAAGTATCTGCATTCTACGAAGTGTTACTCAATCAAAGGTAAAAATTACTTTTTCTGTAAAAAAAATAAATACGCATTTATGCTGGTGATAAGAAGTTTTTTTTTCACTTTTTCTAGTAAGTTGTTCAATAGTTTGGTAAATTGAATGTGTCTTGTCAGTTTTATTCAAGCAATACGTTTCAAAAAGTAGTGTGCTGAATTTTAATTTCCGTTTTAGT